GGATGCTCCACAGATGCTCAATAGGGTTTAGGTCTGGAGACATGCTTGGCCAGTCCATCACCTTTACCCTCAGCTTCTTTAGCAAGGCAGTGGTCGTCTTGGAGGTGTGTTTGGGGTTGTATCATGTGGGAATACTGCCCTGCGGCCCAGTCTCCGAAGGGAGGGGATCATGCTCTGCTTCAGTATGCCACAGTACATGTTGGCATTCATGGTTCCCTCAATGAACTGTAGCTACAAAAATAAACAAATCCAAAGTGATCTGATCCAATCAGGATCTACTTTGTGACACACATACACGTGACACGAAAAACGTGACATATCAAAATGGTCCTGAAATTGGACCCCGTGTGGTGAAAAATAAAATGACACCAACAACAACCCCCCCAAAATCCCTAAATGAGATCAATACATAAAAAACAAAGACTAGTGCAAACAACCGTGAATCCCCAAAAGTGGGGGATAATCAACCTAATCAAAGTGACAGGTGCTTAAATATTCAAAAATAAATAAACACTCAAAGACCATAAGTAAATATAAATAAACACAATTCATCCATCACTGGATGGTATCCATAAGAAATCCCCTCAATGGTGGCGCTTAAACATCTCAGGTCCCCTCCAGATACAGGTACCCGCAATAAAGCTCAATCTCCTTAGACCCAGTCTGTCCGGACAGTATGGATGTTTTCAGTCTTTTGAAGTGTAGGAAGATGATACCTTCCCAAGCCCTGTCCATGTTCCTTCAGTCAGTGTTAGAACTCAGAGACAGTCTGTCTGTGCCCCCATTATCATTGAAAATGAAAGTAAGGAAAACCCCAAATTTTGGGTTGTCCCCAGAAAAGTAATAGAGGGTACATCTTCCTATGGGGACACTAGTTCTGGTGACCTGGGGTCCCAAAAGGAATTCCCTTAAATTGCAGGGATTACCTCTCACTTCCTGTTTTGGCTATAGGACAGGAAGTGAAGGTATATCTCCCTGATGGGATACAGAAGGCAAAAAAAAAAAAACTGACAGGGGTTATAACCCTCCCTTACTTTATCCAAATGAAAGAAAAAAAAACAAGTTTTGCCTATAGTTCTACTTTAACTCAAAGTACCTTTGCTCTCAGTGCCTCCAAATCCTTTTCGATGGGCTATAAAAGACTGGGGCGGCACAGTGGCTTAGTGGTTAGCACTTCTGCCTTGCAGTAATTGGGTCATGGGTTCAATTCCCAACCATGGCGCCTCCTGCATGGAGTTTGCATGTTCTCCCTGTGCTCACGTGGGTTTCCTCCGGGTACTCTGGTTTCCTCCCACACTCCAAAGACATGCTGGTAGGTTAATTGGCTCCTGTCTAAATTGTCCTAATTTCATCCCTGGTCACGTGGGATTTCCTGCATGGTAGTTGTTGGGGAAAGACCTGGAAACCTACCCTGTAAAATAATTGCTAAGAGAATTCATGGAAAAAGTCGCTTATGAGTGACGGTCCATGCAATCGCCAAGGGTCGGATACGACTGAATGGATGGATAGATAGGTAAACGACTGGTTTTGTAGTGTGCACAGAGAAGTGCAGATGACCTTAACTAACAGAGGACAGAGGAAAAAGAACTTAGGGAGCTCATGGTGGAAAAATAAAAGCACAATTTAATGAAAAATAGATTACAGGTCCTTTAAATAGTGGATGTACATGGATTCTTTTTGGAGAACAACGATATAATTTAGTGTTACTTCAACGGTTTCTGATATTTCTTTTGAAATTGTTAGGTTTATGTGCTTTTATAAACGTGTTAAAATATACATTGTTTGAAATCCAGAAAATACCGTATTTTCCGGCGTATAAGACGACTGGGCGTATAAGACGACCCCCTACTTTTCCTGTTAAAATATAGGGTTTGAGCTATACTCGCCGTATAAGACTACCCCTCTTCCAACGCACACCAAATAAAAATGAAAAAACATCAGATTTGATTTCAATATGGTATGCTATTCCAGTATGGTATTCCAATGATGGGGTGCTATTCCTCGCACTGACACCAATGATGAGGCACTACTCCTCCCACTGACACCAATGATGGGGCACTATTTCATCCACTGACACCAATGATGGGGCACTATTCCTCCCACTGATACCAATGATGGGACACTATTCCTCCCACTGACACCAATGATGGTGCCCCATCATTAGTGTCAGTGTGTGAGGAATAGTGCCCCATCATTAGTCAGTGGGAGGAATAGTGCCCCATCATTGGTGTCAGTGGGAAGAATCGTGCCCCATCATTGGTGTCAGTGGGAGGAATAGTGTCCCATCATTGGTATCAGTGGGAGGAATAGCACCCCATCATTGGTGTCAGTGGGAGGAATAGCACCCCATCATTGGTGTCAGTGGGAGGAATAGCGCCCCATCATTGGTATCAGTGGCAGGAATTGCGCCCCATCATTGGTGTCAGTGGGATGAATAGCACCCCATCATTGGTGTCAGTGGGAGGAATAGTGCCCCATCATTGGTGTCAGTGGGGAGGAGGAATAGTGCCCCATCATTGGTATCAGTGGGGAGAATAGTGCCCCATCATTGGTGTCAGTGGGGAGGAGGAATAGTGCCCCATCATTGGTATCAGTGGGGAGAACAGTGCCTCATCGTTGGTGTCAGTGGGGGAGGAACAGTGCCTCATCGTTGGGTGTCAGTGGGGAGGAGGAACAGTGCCTCATCGTTGGTGTCAGTGTGGAGGAGGAATAGTGCCCCATCGTTAGTGTCAGTGGGAGAGAGGAGCGGCTGCTCCTTCTTCCAGTGCGGCCGCTCGCCGGTGATTGGTCGCCTGTGTGCCTTTCCAGTGCTGGCGCCCAATCACCGGTGAGGAGGCGGAGCCGAGCGGCCGCATGACCATCGAGCGGCCGAACTGAAAGAAGGAGCAGCCGCGCTTCCTGGACCGGATCGTCGCGGGACCGGTGCCAGGTAAGGTACAGCAGCCCCTCTGCCCACCCCTGTACTTGGTGTCAGTTGGAGGAGGAGGGGGGGCGGGCTCCGTGCCTCGAAAAAGTGCCGCCCTGACACCGGCTCGCACCGGCGTATAAGACGACCCCCGACTTTTCAGAAGATTTTCAGGGGTTGAAAAGTCGTCTTATACGCCGGAAAATACGGTATATAAAAGTACAGTATATCATTTACAGCCACTTAACATTCATGGCAATGAAAAATAATGGACCAATTTTTTTATTTTTAACTACAGTACATTACACAAAACACAGCATGTGCGTTGTGGTGTAATGCACCATGGGTGCATTGCCTGCTACAGTACTTCTGAACGAAAACAACCAAGTACACACAGTGAAGTACACAGACATACAGGTGAAACTCGAAAAATTTGAATATCGTGCAAAAGTTCATTTATTTCAGTAATGCAACTTATAAGGTGAAACTAATATATGAGATAGACTCATTACATGCAAAGCAAGATAGTTCAAGCCGTCATAATTGTGATGATTATGGTTTACAGCTCATGAAAACCCCAAATCCACAATCTCAGAAAATTAGAATATTACATGCAATCAATAAAACAAGGATTGTACATAGAACAATATCGGACCTCTGAAAAGTATAAGCATGCATGTACTCAGTACTTGGTTTGGGCCCCTTTTGCAGCAATTACTGCCTCAATGCGGCGTGGCATGGAAGCTATCAGCCTGTGGCACTGCTGAGGTGTTATGGAAGACCAGGATGCTTCAATAGCGGCCTTCAGCTCTTCTACATTGTTCGGTCTCATGTCGCTCATCTCTCTCTTCTCAATGCCTCATAGATTCTCTATGGGGTTCAGGTCAGGCAAGTTTGTTGGCCAATCAAGCACAGTAATCCCACGGTCATTGAATCAGGTTTAGGTGCTTTTGGCAGTGCTGCTGGAAAATGAAGTCAGCATCCCCATAAAGCTCGTCTGTGGAAGGAAGCATGAAGTGCTCCAAAATCTCCTGGTAGATAGCTGCGTTGACCCTCGACTTAATGAAGCACAGTGGACCAACACCAGCATCAAATCAACACAGACTGTGGAAACTTCACACTGAGCTTCAAGCATCTTGCAGTGTGTGCCTCTCCATTCTTCCTCCATACTCTGGGTCCTTGGTTTCCAAATGAGATGCAAAAGTTGCTCTCATCAGAAAAGAGGACTTTGGACCACTGAGCAACAGATCAGGTCTGTTTTTCTTTAGCCCAGGTAAGACGCTTTTGACATTGTTTGTTGTTCAGGAGCGGCTTGTCAAGAGGAATACGACATTTGAAGCCCATGTCCAGGATCCGTCTGTGTGTGGTGGCTCTTGATGCACTGACTCCAGCCTCAGTCCACTCCTTGTGAAAGTCCCCAACACTTTTGAATGACCTTTCCTGACAATCCTCTCCAGGCTGCGGTCATCCCTGCTGCTTGTGCACCTTTTTCTTCCACACTTTTCCCTTCCATATAACTTTCTATTAATTTGCTTTGATACAGCACTTTGGGAACATCCAACTTCTTTTGCAATTACCTTTTGAGGCTTTCCCTCCTTATGGAGGGTGTCAATGATGGTTTTCTGCACAACTGTCAGGTCAGCAGTCTGTCCCATGATTGTGATTCCTACTGAACCAGACTGAGAGACCATATAAAGGCTCAGGAACCCTTTGCAGGTGTTATGGCTTAATTAGCTGATTAGAGTGGGACACTTTGAGCCTAGAATATTGCACCTTTTCACAATATTCTAATTTTCTGAGATTGTAGACTTGGGGTTTTCATGAGCTGTAAGCCATAATCATCACGGTTATTACAAATCACGGCTTGAACTATCTTGCTTTGCATGTAATGAGTCTCATATTAGTTTCACCTTTTCAGTTGCATTACTGAAATAAATGAACTTTTGCACGATATTCTAATTTTTCGAGTTTCACCTGTTTGTGATGTTTTAAAAATATAAAATATGTAAAATATACCATTTTAGCTTCCATGTTCTAGTGTTCTCCAGAGAGTGTACCAGCTAGTAAAATTTAAATTCTGAAGCTCATCACTTACATCCACTTCTGACAGGGTTTGTGTCCAGCGGTAATTTGGAAGATCTGCTCCATTGCCTGAATTTGGCTTAAGCTTTCCTTTGTCCTTCTCATCTTCCTCTTCCTCCTCATCACTAACCTGTAAAGAATATAGCTGTGTTAACAAGCATGAATTAAACAAATAAAAGCATTGATTTAACAGCTTCACAAAACAGTTACATTCAAGGCAAGTCATGAATGCTAACTGTTACATTTGCTTGTGCCCTCTACCGAACTGTCAAACCAGCTGGTGTCATAACTGATCACATGTGCAGCACCATGACAACTGGAGATGAAACAGAGGCCTAGATGGCAGCTTCCTTGCCTGAAAAGGATGGAAGGGTTTAGTTCCACTTTAAAGTAGAATGTTAGTCAGAAAATTAAGTCCTGCTAGATCACTTTATGTTGGCCCCTTTTGCAAGTATAGCTATGTAAAATATTAAAAATAAGTGGCTATACTGTTTAACTACTTGCCAATGGGCACTTTTACCCCCTTCCTGCCCAGGCCAATTTCAGCTTTCAGCGCTGTCACAATTTGGACAATTGCACGGTCATGCAACACTGTACCCATATGAAATTTTTATCATTTTCTCACACAAATAGAGATTTCTTTTGGTGGTATTTAATCGCCACTGGATGTTTTATTTTTTGCACCATAAACAAAAAAAGAGCAAAAATTTTGGGAAAAAAAGGGTTTTCTTTGTTTGTAATATAACATTTTGCAAACAGGTAATTTTTCTCATGGGCACTGAAAAGGGGGTACGGATAGGCAGCACTAGTGGGCATCGATGAGAAGGCACTGATATGCAGCAATGATGGGCACAACTGCTGGGCACTGATCATCAGTGCCAATCTGCTTGGCGACAGCTGACGGTTATCGGCAGTACTTTCCTCACGCTGTGACAGCGTGAGCAAAGTGCTGCCGATTACCGGTAAATGTATTTACTCGGTGACCTGCTGGGTCATTGGACACAGCTGATCACGTGGTAAAAGGCCGCTGTGATTGGTCTTTTACGTCATCATGTGATCAGCTGTGCCGTAGGACACAGCAATCACAGAGATTGCCGGGTGTGTGCTGCTGGGGGCGTGTTCTGGGAGAACGTTATACGACACCCTTCCAGAACTGGACAACTGCGCTGTAGCCGTCATTCGGCTATAGCATAAGCATGTGGTTAAAATCCAACAATGCTCTGTCTCATCCTGCACTGCTTGCTATGGGGGCACCTGCTGCTCTGTGTGTCCATTCACACACCTCGTCTCTCTCCTCACTGGCTGTGATTGACAGCAGCGGAGGTCAATGGCCCCTGCTTGCTGTCTCAGCTAATGAGGAGGCAGAGACCCGGAACAGCCGAGGCTGTCACTCACATCACTGGATTGTGATGAGGCTCAGGCAAGTATTGAGGAGGCTGGGGTCACTGCTGCACACAGGTTTTTTTACCTTCATGCATAGAATCTCCATCTCCGCCACCCCCCTCTGCCAATCCCTCCACTGGCTTCCGATTGCCCAACGGATCAAATTCAAAATCCTAACACTGACGTACAAAGCTGTCCACCATACTGCCCCGAACTACATCACTGACCTAATATCCAAGTACCAACCAGCACGCACACTCCGCTCCTCACAAGACCTCCTTCTCTCTAGTTCCCTGGTCTCCTCCTCCCATGCCCCGCCTCCAGGACTTCTCCAGGGCATCACCCATCCTCAGGAACTCCCTACCCCAATCCATCAGACTATTACCTACTCTCCTTTCCTTTAGGCGCACCCTGAAAACCTACCTCTTCAGGGAAGCCTACCCCACCCCCTGCTAATTGCCGTCCTCCTCCACTCTTCCTACCACTCTCCCCCACAGCCATTTCCTCCTGTACCACTATCCTCTCCCTCCTAGATTGTAAGCTCTAAGGAGCAGGGCCCTCGTACCCCTCGTGTACCGCATTGTATTGTTATTGTACTGTCTCATGTATCGTCTCCCATTGTAATGTACAGCGCTGAGCGAACTGTTGGCGCTTTATAAATACTGTATAATAATAATATTCCAATGCTGGAGACAGTAATTAGGACTCTGCTGCAAGTGGCTGTCACCCAAGGACACTTCCTGGATTGCAAGCGCTGTACAGAGCTTTGATTTGAAACTCATGGGTCTAGAAATTGTGAGACAGCCTCCTCTTTCCCTATGTGAATGCATAAAGATACTAGTAGTGAGTGCGGGACTGGTCAAAGCTCAAATGTCAGCAAGCTGACTTTCTTTTCCACTGAAACTGTTATTTCTAAGAGGGCCCACCTCTGCCAGCCAAAGTCCTCATCTCATCTGCCACTGTCCAGTAAGGAATGGACTGTTTAGCTGCTAGAATTAGCATTTTTCCTCTTGGTGCTATACAGTTGCAGATTGCTAGAAAAAAGCATTGCTAGTGCTTAGTTATTATTCACTTTATAGAAAATATATTGTTTTGTTGCTTGTATGCCAATTGTCTTTTCTTACATTGCTGCTCTTAAAATAATTGTAAAAAATGCCCAAGGTGTGTCGGTAAGTGCTGGGTGAGCCAGGCGTTTCATCTCCAATTCCACAGAAACTTAATATCCAGCGGCTCCTCCAGGGGAAAATGCTACATAGATATGGAGTGATGCGAACATTGGAGCACCACATCCCTGAATCATTAGAAAATAAAAATTACCAAATATAATGCTGGAATTTTATGGTGCAACCTCTCAACAAAACTTCACAGACCACAGTTCATAAAAATCAATTTATTTTATTACTACAAACAGCCAAAGAAAAAAAATCAATAACTATCATCATTCATTTACTATTATTTAGTTCAATACCCCAATAACCATGTGTCTATATTGATATATAATCTATATCTATGTTATTCCAAGGCCGAACAACAAAGGTTTGTAACACAGTGCAGTTCCTTGCCGGTTAGTTGTAGATATGGTCCTTTTTGACTGGTTTCGCATAAAACTTCTTCAGGAGTAGAGTGAAAATGGAAATTGTATGATGTTCACAAATGAATGCTAGATGTCCAGACGTTAACACAGGGCCCAGGAAGCCAAAATCCTCCCCAAACATCCACCGGTGGCAACCACAAACACGTTATACAAAGATAAGGCTATGACACAGTCAACACAACCAACATGGCCAAGACAGCGACCAAATTAACTGAAACCAGGTGGCATGTAAATAATGATTTGATTAAATTATTCTGAAAAATCTTTATTTGTACAAAATCACCAAAAAGGGCATATCATTATCACATAATTAATCAAACATCTACCCTCCACCAGATACCGCTTTAAAAAACAGACAAAGTTGTCTTCACACACAGAAAATTGTCCAAACATCAAATCAGTTATATAAAACACATGACAACCAATTAAAGGCAAATGCCATCTATCCTTAAACAGCCTAAATATGTAGCAATAATGGCATATTTGGTGGCAGGTAGATATTAGATTAATTAGGTAATAATGGTATGTCTTTTTTTGGTGATTTTTCAGAATAATTTATTCAGATAATTATTTACATTCCACTTGGTTTCAGTTTTATGGTCGCAACCTTGGCCTTAATGACTATGTCATGGCCTTTTCTTTGCACAGTGAAATTTAATAGGACCATTGAGACCACATTATCACACATAATTTGACGTGTATTTAGTGGACTCCCTAAACAGCCTTTTTAGTGTTTTTAAACCAAAAACACACTGGCTGCATATCCTGAAATGCAAATACATCAAACACTGATACAGACTAGTGTTATTCCAAAACCTGTGCTTATTCAAGAGTAATTCTGAGAAATCTGTGTTCCAAGGAGTGTCCTGAGCTGTCGTATGGACATCTAGCATTCATTTGTGAACACCATACAATTTCTATTTTTACTCTACTCCTGAAGAAGCTTTATGCTAAACATGTCGAGAAGAGCCATATCCACAACCGAATAACCAACAAGGAACTGCTCTTTGCTACAAACCTTTATTTCTTGGACTTGGAATAACATATACACTATACTGCCAAAAGTATTTACATACACATGAACATTAATGGCATCTCAGTCTTAGTCCGTAGGGTTCAATATTGAGTTGGCCCACCCTTTGCACCTATAACAGCTTCAACTCTTCTGGGAAGGCTGTCCATAAGGTTTAGGAGGGTGTCCATGGGAAGGTTTGACCATTCTTCCAGAAGCGCATTTGTGAGGTCAGGCACTGATGTTGGATGAGAAGGCCTCGTTTGCAGTTTCCACTCTAATACATCCCAAATGTGTTCTATCAGGTAAGGACTCTGTGCACGCCAGTCAAGTTCCTCCACCTCATACTCGCTCATCCATGTCTATGTGGACTTTACTTTGTGCACTGGTGCACAATCATGTTGGAACAGGAAGGGGCCATCCCCAAACTGTTTGGTATACTGACGCCTTAAGAGTTCCCTTCACTGGAACTAAGGGGCCAAGCCCAAGCTCTAAAAAACAACCCCACACCATATTTCCCCCTCCACCAAACTTTACACTTGGCACAATGCAGTGAGACAAGTACCATTCTCCTGTGAACCAGTCCAGTGGCGGCATACTTAACGCCACTGCATCCGACCCTTTGCATTGCACTTGGTGATGTAAGGCTTGGATGCAGCTGCTCAGCCATGGAAACCCATTCCATGAAGCTCTTTATGCACTGTTGTTGTGCTAATCTGAAGGCCACATGAAGTTTGGAGGTCTTTTGCTATTGACTCTGCAGACAGTTGGTGACTTCTGCACACTGTGTGCGTCAGCATTTGCTGACCCCACTCTGTCATTTTACAAGGCCTACCACTTTGTGGCTGCTGTCCGCAGTTGCTTCCACTTTTTTATAAAACCACTAACAGTTGACCATGGACTATTTAATAGCAAGGAAATTTCACGGATGGACTTATTGCACAAGTGGCAACCTATCACAGTACCACACTTGAATTCACTGAGCTCCTGAGAGCAACGCATTCTTTCACAAATGTTTGAAGAAGGCAGTCTGCATGCCTAGGTGCTTGATTTTTTACATCTGTGGTCATGGAGGTGATTGGAACACCTGAATCCAATGATTTGGAGGGGTCTCCCACTGCTTTTGGCAATATAGTGTATATGTCATCATAAACAAACCTTTTTGTGGTTTTGACCTCAATAGATGGGTAAATGAATGCTGATAGTGTTACTAAACCCAGGACCCTGTATTCACTATATCTGGTCTCCCACAGTACACAGGACATGGAAGTGCAATTATTTTAGTAAATATAAACTTCTAAATACCTTTTCTCATCAGCAATTAGAGCAGTCGTGTGACACAGAAGTCCGCAAATGAATGATGCGGCCCTGTGAGCGGAGCACTGCAAGGTCATGCTATTTTCAAATTTGACAGTACGGGGAGACTTCTCCCCATACTATCTGTCAGAGGGAGGGGGGGGGGGGGGGGGTGGCGGCAGCCGCAGCTATGGGAACATGTTACATGTTACTACCTAAAAACGGGTGGTGGAACATGTAACATGTTCTGAAAGGTAAACTTATCCTTTAATGACCTTGAAGTATGTAAAATGTCATAAGCAGTTAAACACAGGCTCCCAGAAGTGTAAAACGTCAGCATCAGTTAAAGTGTTACTAAACCCAGGACCCTGCATCCACTATATCTGGTCACCCACAGTATACATGAAAATGCAATTATTTTAGTAAATGTAAGCCACTAAATACCTTTTTTCATCAGTTAGAGCAGTCTTGTGACTTCTATCAGTGTCCAGCCAAGCACTGTTTAAAGCTTGTAGGAGGAGTATTCTTTCTGCTCTATAGGAGGATGCAGAACTCCTGACCTCTGTCTGGACAGTGCTGATTGGCCCTGTGCTGATCACATACATTCTCCCAAGATAAAAAAAACAAAAACCTTTCGAGCAATAAACACCAAACTGAGCATGTGCAGAGTGTCTCCACACGATATGTCTTATCAGGAGATAAGAGGGGTACACTGGAAGAAGGGGAGGATCAGAGAAGACAGGATCAAACCACATTTTTACATAATGGGGATTAACCCCTTAGGTTCCACAGTGAGTAGAACAAGCATGCTTTACTGCAAATATAGACTGATTTTACTGTTGTGGGTTTAGTAACACTTTAAATAGAGGCTCCCAGAGGTGCAAAATGTCAGCAGCAATTAAGTGTATACATACCGAGTTTCTATCTAGAGTGACCTGGTAACCCTGAAACATGGGGTTACTTCATTATGCAAATTCAAACTTCAGCAAGAAAGCTAGCTTATTAGCCAGCCCCCTTTAGGCATCCTGTGCCCCACTGATGTGAGGCAGCTCAGGCATCACACTGACCAGAGGTACGGTGGGAGGGTTGGACCACATTTATTGATGAAGTTGGTAGTTGCATACCACAGCATCCCATATTTCAGGGCTCTTGGGTAACTCTAGAAGGCACCAAAATTTAACTCCCACTAGCATTTTATATGCTTCAATTAATGTAACCATTACTTGTTAAAATTGGGCTGCAGCCTACATACTGTGTAGATGACTTCACTCTTGACTTCATAGTCACATTCTTGATCTGAGCTACTTACCCAGAAACTGTTGGAAACCAGAGAAAGCCAAGCAACTAGTTTTTTTTGTTTTTTTTTTTAAAAAAGGTGAGCAACAGCAGCCACCAATTTTTAAGTGCAGCTCTCCTTCAGTTTTCAAACCGGATCAATATACACATAACTAATATTTTTAGGGTAAAACAGGTTCATTTTAAATTAGCATATCATTTGATAAGCAAAGAGATAGATGAGAAATAGATGATACAAAGATATACCTGAGAAAGAGTGAGAGAGAAATGAAAATACTCAAAAATGAGAATACCTTTTGAACAACGGAATTTTTATCTGCGCCAACAGCGGGTTTATCTTGCTCTTGCTCTAGCTCTTTGGCTTTATTCTGTTAATACAAAAACACAGTAATACATTAATTCAACCAAAATGTAACTCAAAAATATCTTATGTTTAATACAATTCAGTTGCCCCATTTAATATAGAATTAGTATAGTGTGTATACTTTCTCTCCCATTTACAGATAATCTGATGGTCTGCAAATCCATTTTGCCCATCTGTACAATACAGATATTAAACCTATCCTCTGTACACTTTTTTGGTATCCCTCAAATACAGAAAACCCTATGTATGAAAATATCAGTACTAAGACATATGTCATAACCACCTATCAAATTCAACCCTTCATTGAACACAAAATCTGATTATTAGGATAGCAAGAAAACAAAACCACTGCACGGGTGAGTGTGAGGTGCAGCGGAAAATCAAGTTACAGTGGATTATGCAGAACTCTTATTAGGTTAACCCCTTCACGCCTAAGGGTAAAACAAATATTAAAGCCTAAGCACAATTTTGCAACTTTGACATGTGTTAGCAAAACCGTACATATCATCACAACTACTTTGTGCATCCAGGTGAATTATACCATGTTTTTTTCAGGACACATCGGGCTTTCATTTGGTGGCAAATGGTAATGGATATCTCCTTATTTTTTTATCAAAGAAATAGTGAAAAAAAAAATTGTTTTTTTTAAATTTAGTTGTATATTTCTTGCTACTACCATAACTAAACACCAATGAAGAACCCAAAATAATTTCTTCAGCTCCTGACGGTTGCAGCAATACCACATGTGTATGTTGTTGTTTGTACCCATAGCACGGCCCAGAAACAATAGTGCGCATTTTGCTTTTTTTTTTATCCTGCCACTGATACGAATTTAAAAATTGACAAAAAATAAATACTGACCCTGACCTGGACCCAAACTCTAACCCTGGCACTGACCTAGAACAAACCTTGATCTAGGTATTTTTACTTTATTATTATTTTTATTTAGTTATTTTTTTACAAACACTTTTTTTCTCTCTGAAAGGACAGAGAGAGATACAATGTATCTCTCTCCTCCATTCAGAGAGAGAAAACAAAGGGGGCAGGCTTCACAGTGACTGATCACTGTGATAACCAATCAGAGGCGCTCACAGCGATCATGTGACTCGGAATCGGGAGTTCCGGGTCCCGATCATTAAAACAGGACCCGGGGCACTCATTGACACCCTGGTCTTTGTTCTGGGAGCGCACCGTGCTGCATGCTCCCAGAACAAAGACAGGTGCACATATTAGCAGCCACATAGAAAAAACCCCAGTCCAGTGGGACTTCTAATTTGTGTAAGCTCAGCGCCAAGGGGTTAAACTATATTATTATACAGGGTTTATAAATCGCCAACAGTTTGCGCAACGCTTTACAAAATGAAAACTAAGTGGACCTTATATCTTAACATACTTTTATGCTTAGAAAGATTTCCATATATGCATTTTTGGATGATTCATGTCATTGTGGATCTAGCAACTTATTTCTTTGGAGGTGAGATTGGTGCAAAGTAAGAATAATATTCAGCATATAGATATGTTACAGAAGCTAACATTGGTGGCATGGTGTAGGAAGAGTAAGACAACCAATAAAAATGCATTTGCCTGACACTCCTGTAAGTCGTATAGTTGTCTCCTATGAGCATGCACGTGTGCAATGTGCCTGGGTCCAGTGTTCCTTTTATTTACAGAAATCATACTAAAAGTTGCCCAAATTTTCACTAGCCCCCTCTAAACTGCAGGTACTACACAATAAGTACCATATGTGTGTATTTGCTTTACATTAATTTTACAGTTCCATACCTTATCAATTTCCTTTTGCAGTTTATCTGCTTCTTCATCTGTTAGCTCCGTGATCCTTGGTTCCCCAGGCTCCATAGGCTTGTGTTTGGCAGCTTGCTCACGTTTTGCAGCGTTGCGTTCCTGTTGCTCGGCCTCCTTCTGTTCTTTGACTGCTTGGGCTAATTTATTGTGGTGCTTGAAAGCATCATTGATTAGCTGGAATAAAGAAGATGACAGTTTGAGGTTTATTCTTTTACTTAACCACTTAATGACCAGACTGTTTCACCTTGAACAATTGCTCAGTCATGCAGCACTGTATCCAAATTCATTTTATATCTTTTTTTTTTCTCAGAGATTTCTTTTAGTGGTATTTAATCACCACTGGGTTTTTCTTTTTTGCTACATAAAAGGAAAGAAGACTTAAAATTTTGAAAAGAAAAACATTTTTCTTAGTTTCTGTTATAAAAGTCTGCAAATAAATAATCTTTCTTCATAACTTTAGGCCAAACTGTATTCTGCTACATTTCTTTGGTGAATAAAAACAAATCAGTTTATATTATTTAGTCTGCGCAAAAATTATAACCTACAAAGTATGGTAGACCTGGTCCTGTAACCCGCTCTGTGATTTGCTGTGTGTAAGGGACACAGTGAAAAATTGCACCCCACTGCACGCTCTGAAAGCCACGCACAAGCAGCCGATGTGGGAAGCCATATACAGTTAGGTCCATATATACAGGTGTACCTCGATTTACAAATGCATCGGATAACGGAATTTTTGGTTTACTAATGAAAATCCATTGAAAATAATGCCTCGGTTTTACGAATTTTTTACGCAATACAAAGTGTATGTCGGTACCGATTTTTAAATGCAATTGCCGGGTTTTTTTTTCTTCACGAGAGCTCACAAAGCTGTCACTTTCCCCGGTGTTAAATGAAGCTTTGTGTCTTTTAAGAAATTAAAAGGAAACTTAGTTCCTTTTAACTTGGGGAAATAAACTAAAAAGAAACCTTCTCTTTTAGCTAGGGGGAAGTGACAGCTGGATCTCTGAGCTATAGTGAAAAAAAATAAAAGCGGTAATTAGAAAAACAAAAGCGGTAATTACATTTAAAAACTGGCACAATAAATTAAAAAAAACACGTGGGGTCCCCCCTCCCATCCACACCAAGCCCGTCTGGTATGGATTTTTAGGGGAACTCCCATGCTCCCAGATCCCGCCCCCACCCACTATGCGAATGAGTATGGGGTGCATGGTCCCAATACTCATTCACAAGAAACAGTAAAGTGTAGTGTGAAAAAAGACAGCATGCGGTCTTTGACAAGTCCTTTATTAAAAGAAAAAACTAAAAGAATGTCCCCCACAGTAGATCCACCATCAATCACGATGACCGCCGCTGACCCGAAAAAAAGAATGAAAAAAAAAGTCTCCGCTTCAGATGATTGTTCCCGTCGTCGCCTGCTCCGGTGGTTTGACAGTTCCTAAATAGGTAAGGGGCGGGGCCACCCGGGGACATCAGGCATTTGACCCCACCCCATGTGACATCATTGATGTCACATGGTGTGGGGGTCACAATTATTTAATTGCAGGCAATTTTTTTACATTCAGCTGTCAGTGGGGAACCCCTCTGACAGCTGAAACATTAACACATGGTTGGCACTACTAAAATATCGCATGACTTGGTAAAATAACTCATGCGGTATTTCAGTAGCATTTGCTTTTTTCTGACCTCAGGAACGGATTAATTGGTTTTCAATGCATTCCTATGGGAAACGGTGTTTTCGGTTTGCGAATTGTTTGCTATACGAAAAGTCCCGCAGAACATATTAAATTCATAAACCGAGGTATGGTAAGTGGAGTTACCGTTTAACAATTTCCCATTCGGCCACTGTATGAAAACAGCTGAATAGGACAAGAGTCGATGCAAGGAGCGTACATACGGTTAGGGTCATATGCATTTGGACACAGGCACAATTTTAATTTTTTCAGGTATTTACCAAAACATGTTCAAGCTATAGTTATATAATTGATATGGGCTAAAAGTGCACACTCTCAGGTTTAATTTGAGGGTATGTACATTCAAATAGGAGGAAGGGTTTAGGAATTACAGCTCTTAAGAGTAGCCATCCCCCCTTTTTCAAGGAACCAAAAGTAATTGGACAATTGAATATGATCATAAATAAAATGTTCATTTTTAATATTTTGTCAAGAATCCTTTATTGGAAATTACTGCCTGAAGTCTAGAATCCATGGACATTACCAAAGACTGTCTCCTGCTTTCTGATGCTTTGCCAAGCTCTAACTGCAGCTGTCTCTAGTTTTTTATTTGTTTGTGGGTCTTTCTGCCTTTAGATTTGCATTCAGCAAGTGAAATGCATGCTCAATTGGGTTGGGATCAGTTGACTGGCTTGGCCACTGCAGCATATTGCACTTCTTTCCCTTCAAAAGCTCCTGGGTTGGGCGGGGGCGGGCGGAGCCTGACCATGGCGGCGGCGGAGAGCTCGAGGTAGGAGCTCCCCACGCACGAGGCTCCTCCGACCTACCCCCCCCCCCCTTGGACTTTAAAATTCCCCCCATGGAGATGGAGCCTTAGAAGCCAGAGACCTACCTTGACCGGGGGGTTTACTGGCTCCTGTCGCTGAGTGGCTGCCCGCGGTAAGAGAGGAGGGGACGCTGAGCCTGGACGCCGAGCCGGGTTGCCGGGAAACAAGGAGGCAAGGAAGCCGGCCGCCCGGCCGGAGGCTGACAGAGAGCAGGAGAGATCCCCGTTCTGTCGGACGACCTGCTATCTCTGGAGCCCTGGCAGGGGATCGATGGTGAGCCTCCCCAAACTAACAAACAAACCAACAAGGCAGAAGAGCATGGAGGAAGTCCTGGAGGGTCCCCCTGAGAGGAAGAGAGCTGACCTATCGAGGAAGCTGGAAGCTGGAGAGTGGAGCCTGGAGCCGTCTCACGAGAAGCGCAGGAAGGGTGAGTGAGACTGGCGGAGGCCCCAAATATAAAAATTAAAAAAAAAACGTATATAGAGCTGGGAGAGAGAGAGAAAAGGGGGGGACCCCCAGAGAATAACAATAAAAATAAGGAGAAGAGCGCAAGGTGCAGCCAAAGGCGCATAGAAAGTTGGGAAGATAGAGCTGGGAATTCTACCTCTACACCTTATTAATTCCCTTGTTTTGTAAAGTATAAGTCTATGAGAAGAAAATAAAAGTTATAGAAGAAATGAAAAAAAAAAAGTACAAAAGGAACCGGGCCTAAAAGGGACCCAAACGGGGACAATTAAAAAGTATACATCCCAGGGAAATGTGACCCCAGAAAGGCCCCAGAGTAGAAACAATAGAGAATCTGATCTAAGTATGCAAAGCAGTCCTAAACAATCACTAGAATTGGACACAAGCAATCAACAAATATCAGAGATAGAAAAAGATCTACAAATTCCAAATAAAAAAGATGACAGAAATGTTTAAAGATCTGGAGAGAACAATAAAGCAAGAAATGGTAAATATTTGGAATGACCTGGGGCAGTTGTTGTTAAGAGTGGAAGAAACAGAGCAGAAAGTTAAAAATCAGACCCAGATTATTTCCGAATTAGAGAAGAAGATAATTAATATGGAAAAAGTTCAGGAAAAATTGCAGTATAAAGCGGAAATTCAAGAGAATAGAGAAAGAAGGAGAAACATAAGGATAAGAGGGGTACCGGAAAGTTTAAAGAGAGAAATACTGGAAGAGATGGTCTGCAAAATACTGAACTATATAATGGAAAACTCTGAAATGGAAAGGACTAATATAGAAAGAATCTCTAGAAATGGGAAACTCCAGGGGAATTATGAGAAGGACAGGCCGAGGACATACTTGTAAAATTTTATGATCTACAGCAAAGGGATAGACTCTGGAGGAAAACGAAGGGAAAATCAGTTATAAAGTATGGAGAAATGGATATTCAAATATATGCGGACTTGTCACTAGAGACTCTCCAGAGGAGGAGAACTCTGAGGCCTTTGCTGGAGCAGATGAAAAAACAGAAGGTGCAATATAGATGGGGAGTTCCGGAGACTTTAATAGGATGGAAAAATGGAATAACAGCCCATTTGAGGTTCCCAGAGGACTTGAGAAATTTTTGTGATAGACTTGAAATGCAGAAAATTGAAATAAATGGATGGGAAGAAGAATATGGGGGAAATAGATCAAGGAGAGGGGAGGGGTGGGGGGGGGAGGAGGGGCGGGGGAGGGTGAGTGAAGAAGAGAGAATTGTTTTTTTTTTTTTTTTCTCTCTCGCTTTCCTTGCTCCCATTCCATCGCTTCTTTTTCTCCCTAGTTCCTCCAGCCTGACCCCTTTTTTTTTTTCTTCTTCTTTAGAAAGTACAGGTAGAGAGGAGTTCAAGGGGGGGATCCGGAAGGCTGTCCACGGGAGGAGTGAAGCCCTAAGGATTAAGTCAAAGGTGGATGCTATCTCCACAAATGATGGTTAGGCAAAGTGAAGGCCTAAAAAGAGGGGGGAGGAGGGGGGGGGGGAGAGGTGGGGAGGGAGGAGGAGGGAGGGGAGGGAGAGGAAAGGGATTGAGGGGTGTATTGAGAGAGGGGGGGAGGGAAAAGGGGAGAGAAAAGGGTAGAGGGATAAAAACGCTCCATAGGAATAAGAAAGAGGAAGGAAAGGAGGAAGAAGGAGATGGTAGGAAAAGGGTAAGATGGAAGAAATTCAATATATAACCTACAATGTAAAAGGGTTAAGCTGTCCAGGAAAGAGATTCAGGTTATTTAAAGAACTCCAACATAGAAAATCCTCAGTGGTATTTTTGCAGGAAACACATCTAGAGATGGAGTCGAAGGTTAGACTGAGGACTAGATATTTTCCAACATGGTTCTATGCGGATTCACCAACTAAAAGAGCAAAAGGAGTTGCTATAGGATTCGCAAAGAATATAAGGTTCGAACTGGAGGAGAGATTAACAGATCTGGAGGGAAGGTTTTTATTTTTGAGAGGTAAATTACAGGGAATTGAGTGTACAATAGCAAACATATACAGCCCAAATAAGAGCCCGGAGAGGTTTATGAGAGAAGTGTTGAAGAGACTGATGGACTTTAAAAGCGGGTGTATGATAGTAGCGGGAGACCTAAACATCTGTATGGACCCGCGGATGGACACCACTTCCTCTGTGAGGAGGGAGGAAAGCAAATCCTTGAGTTGCATTGAAGTTAAGATGGGGTAGAGAAGGTTATGTATGGCGGTTGAATGAGGCACTTCTGATGGAGGAAGAGATTGGTCAAAGAAGAAAAGAAGGTCATATATAGGAATAAATTATATAAGGAGAAAATATGTTTTTGATAAATATTTTAATAGGAATGTTGAAATGACTTGTATATGAAGTGAAAAATTAATAAATATTTATAAAAAAAAAAAAAAAAAAAAAAAAAAGCTCCTGGGTTGCTCTTGCAGTGTGTTTTGGATCATTGTCCATCTCTACTGTGAGGTGCCGTCCAATCAACTTCGCTGCATTTGACTGAATCTGAGCTGACAGTATACTTTTAAACACTGCAGAATTCCTTTGGCTGCTTCTCTTCTGTCACATCATCAAGCCATGCATTCCCATGACATCACACTGCCTCTACCATGTCTTACAGATGACTTTGTGTGCTTTGGATCATGAGCTGTACCAAGCCTTCAACACAATTTTTTCTTCCTGTCATACTGGTAAATAAGATTAATCTTAGTTTCATCCATCCAAGGAATGCTTCTCCAGAACTGGTCTGGCTTTTTTAGATGTTTTTTCTGGCAAAGTCTAATCTGGCTTTTCTATTCTTCAGGTTTATGAATGGTTTGCACATTGTGGTGAACCCTCTGCATTTGCTCTCGTGAAGTTTTTCTCTTGATTGTAGTCTTTGACAATGATACGCCCACCTCCTGGAGAGTGTCCTTCACTTGTCTGGATGTTGTGAATGGGTTTTTCTTTATCACAGACAGGATCCTGCAATCATCCACCATTGTCTTCCATGGACGTCCATGCCTTTTTATGTTGCTGAGCTCACCAGTGCGTTCTTCTTTCCTCAGAATGTACCAAACTGTTGATTTGGCCACTCATAATGTTGCTGCTATCTCTCTGATGGATTTGTTTAGTTTTGAAGCCTTACAATGGCCTGTTTCACTTGCATGGACAGCTCCTTTGAACGCATGATGTAAGTTCACAGCAATAGATTCCAAATGCAAATACCACACTTAGAATCAACTCCTGCTTAATTGATGAAGAAATAACGGAGTAGCCCACACCTGGCCATGAAACAGCTTTTGATTCAATTGTCCAATTATTTTTAGTCCCTTGAAAAAGGGGGATGGCTACTCTTAAGAGCTGTAATTCCTAAACCCTTCCTCCAATTTGGATGTACGTGCCCTCAAATTAAACCTGAGAGTGTGCACTTTCAGCCCACATCCATTATATAACTATAGCTTGAATATGTTTTGGTAAATACTTAAAAAAAATTAAAATTGTGCCTGTGTCCAAATATATATGGACCTAACCGTATGTATGCTCCCTGCATCAATGCTTGTCCTATTCAGCTGTTTTCATACAGTGGCCGGATGGGAAATTGTTAAAAGGTAACTACTTTTGTGGGAAAAAAAATTACAAATAATTAAAAAAAAAAAAAGCATATACAATTACGACAATTAAGTCATATTGTAATTGTATGTTATTAAAAAGCAAGTTTCCTTTTCAATCTGGAGTACTGTAATTTTATGTAAAATGCAAAGCAATATGGCTGCCTGGAGGTGTTCTGAATCCCCCCCCCCAGCAACAAAAAAATTTCCTGCTTGTGTGATTGGCTCACTGCTCACTGATTTTCCAAGAAGTCTGCACTAAGATACAATTCAGATTTCAGGCATCCCCTGCAACAAAAATGTAATTTTTTGGTGAGATACTCCCAATAGGAAAACACATCTAAAGGGTGCAGACCCTGCCACTTTCCTTATTAGAGCCCTGCAAGTGCAGCATCTGATTGCTCATTTTGAAACTACTCCCATCAGATTCACTTTGCACATGGACACCGACAAACAGCTCTTTCTTCAGAATAACAAAAGATAGGACTCTGCAAAAAAGTTTGTTAAAATCCTTGCAATGTACATAGATCACCAAAGGGGAAGGTTTTTTTCCTCAACTAAAGTGCAGTTACTCTTTAAAAACCACAATGCCTACTGTATAAAGTCCTCTTACCTGTTCAGCTGCTCCTCTTTCTCCTCCCATAAAGAAGTCAGTTTTTCTTCTTAGGAAACTGAAGAATGTGTTTATCAGCTGTGTAAGAGAACAGAAACAGGTAAAATTGGACTCATAAACATGCGCTGGCATCAGCCTTTGTGGAATAAAAAATAAACCTACATTAAAGTGGTTGTAAAGGCTGAATGTTTTTCACTTATGCATTCTATGCATGAAAGAAAAAACCTTCTGTATGCAGCAGCTCCCTCAGCCCCCTCAATACTTACCTGAGCCTTATCATGATCCAGCGATGTGAATGACAGCCTCGACTGTCCCAGGTCTCTGCATCCTCATTAACTGAAACATTGTCAATCACAGCAAGTCAGCAGATGAGGAGAGAGAGGGGACAAAAGGTGAATAGATACATGGAGCAGTGGGTGCCGCCATAGCAAGCAGCTTGCTGTGGGGGCACCTGACAGACAGGAGGAGCCAGAAGAGCCTTCGAGCCTTCCGGGCTTCTCTGTGCAAAACCACTGCACATAGCAGGTAAGTATGCTATATTCTGAAGCTATGTTAAAAAAATACAAATGTAAGGGTGGAATAAAAAAAAAAGAGCTTTGTGGTGCAACAGTCATCTCAAATAAGAAGCATGATGTATGCAACAATATCTTGCCTAGCTGCTAAGGCCTTGTTCACTTGCGGCGTACTAAAGTATATGCCTGTGCAGGGCCATGTTTACCCATATAGAGATGCACAGGTGTGCCATGCATCCCCATGCAGGCAGTCCCATTGATGTAAATTGAGAGCATCTGTGCAGCAATGGGACTTCTGGCACAGAAAATCTGTGCATCCCTATGTGGGTAAACATGTCCCTCCATGGGTGTACGCTTTAGTATGCCCCATATGAACAAGGCCTTACAGTCAAAGCGCTGCACAAACTGTTGGCACTATATAAATCCATAAGAATAATAACTCTACAGTTCATGTCCTAGATCTCCAAAAAAATGATGGCTCATTATTTTGGTAAGTCAAGCTAAAAGCTCCTACACAACCAAGTGTTTACACAAAGAAACCCCATTTTCATATAAAGGATTGCTTGTGTTCTGGAAATTTGTGCATGCACCTGCACTGAAATAATGGGTAATAATCCATCATGTACATGTGACAATAACCACCTCAAATTACCTGTGCATTTCAAGCATTCTTCCTAAAAATTAAAAAGAACTTGTAACGTTAGGGTGCTCCAATGTGCAAATTTGACTTAATTTATAACACTACTGTCTGGTACTGCCCCCACATCCCCTTATTGAGTAAGTTCTCCTTTTGACCAAAAACAATAAATGCTAATTTTTTGCAGGTAAAAAAAATGAATTTATTATAGTTGGCTGCAGGAACCTGTAAAGCATTGCACGAGTGATCAGCAGATCGCTGGTGCCATGCACATCTCCTGCAGACCTGTCAGTATATGGGCAGCACAGTGACTAAATGGTTAGCAATTCCACCTGGCAGTACCAGGGTCATTTGTTTGAATTCCAACCATGGCACCACCTGCCTGGAGTTTGCATGTTCTCCCTCTGCCTGCGTGGGTTTCCTCGGGGTAATCCGGTTTCCTCCTACACTCCAAATGATGGTAGGTTAATTGGATCCTAAATTGGCCCCAGTATGTGTATGTATGAATGTGAGTTAGGGACCTTAGATTGTACACGCCTTGAGGGTTAGGGACTAATGTGTGCAATATATATGTAAAGCGCTGTGTAAATTGACAGCGCTTTATAAGTACCTGAAATAAATAAAATATCTGCTTGCCAGTATGGGATGTGCAAGCAAGCAGATATACTGACAGGGAGATGTGCAGGCAAGCAGATATACTGACAGGGGGCTACACAGCACCATGGTAGATTATTGAGAACTACAGCTGCTAAGGCTGTCAGGACTTGTATTTCATTCATTCACAGAACGCTGTGAATGAATGACGGAGCCGTGTGGGCGGAGCCCTGCATGGCCATGCTGTATTTAAAAGTGACAGCTTGTACAGGGACAGCAGACAGCTTTGGGAACATGTTACATGTTCCCAAAGGTGAACTTATCCTTTAAAGTTTAACTGAAGGCAAACCTTTTTTAGTTTTGGATGGGATTAGAACACCTGTCAGGTTTCGATTGCTATCTGTCCACATTCGGGAGATTCACCCTGTCTACTTGTCCGGTTTACTGTTATCACTGAAAGTGAAATAAAAACCCAAATTTTGGGGTGTCTCAAGAACAGTGAGGAAATCTTCCAATGGAGATACTAGTTCTGGTGACAACCGGGAAATCCTTCAATTTGGAGGGCAGCCCGAACATTTTTTTTTTTTTTTAACCACCTCCCACCCGCCATATAGTAATATGATGGACGCAAGGTGGTTCTCTTGTTCTGGGAGGACGTCCTCCCATTCTAACCGCGCATGCCTGGCTCCCGGAGCACGGCGATTGGCAGTGTGCTGTGTCCCTCGGACACAGGGGATCACCGATCCACAGAAGGAGCCGAAGATGTCGGCTTGGTCATGTGATCAGCTGTGTCCAATCACAGCTGATCACATGTAAACAGGGAAATGCCGGTTATCTGCATTTCTCTCCTCTCGAGCTGTCACGCTGACAGCTCGAGAGGAGAGCCAGTAATCGGCATTCCGCGGAGGGGACATGTACACTGATCATCAGGGCACTGATGATCAGTGTGCCCTGATGATCAGTGTAGCCCCAGCAGTGCCACCTGTCATTGTGCATCAGTGCCAGCTGTCAGTGCTCATCAGTGCCAAATCAATGCCACATATCAGTGCCCATCTGAGCTGCCTTTCAGTGTCACCCATCAATGCCAATCAGTGCCGCCTATCAGTGCCATACATCAGTGCTGCCTTTCAGTGCCCATCAGAGATGCCTGTCAATGCTCATCAATGCCACCTACCAGTGCCACCTACCAGTGTCCATCAGTGCCACCTATCAGTGCCACCTATCAGTGCCCATCACTACAGCCTCATTAGCACACATCAGTGAAGGAGAAAAATCACTTATTTACAAAATTTTATAACAAAAACTAAGAAAAAACTTTTTTTTTTTTCAAAATTTTCAGTGGTTTTTGGTTTGTTTAGGAAAAAATATAAACCCAGAGTTGATTAAATACCACCAAAATAAAGCACTGTCAAACTAAAAAATGATAAAAAAAATTTCATATGGGTACAGTGTTGCATGACTGCGCAATTGTCTTTCAAAGTGTGATAGCACTGAAAGCTGAAAATTGGCCTGGGCAGGAAGGGTCCAGACTTGAAGTGGTTAATAGCAAGAAGTCAAAAATATTGTTTTTTTTTTTCAAAATTGCTGGTCTTTTATTGTTTATAGCGGAAAAAATAAAAAACGCACAGACGATCAAATGCCACCGAAAGAAAGCTCTATTCATGGGAAAAAAAGGACCTAAATTTCTTTGGGTTTAGTGTTGCATGACAATTGTCAGTTAAAGTAACGCAGCGCCGAATCACGAAAAATTGCCTGGTCAAGAAGGAGGGGGGGGGGGGGGGGATCCTCTGGAGGACAAGTGGTTAGGAGGGTTTGAATCAGAGAAAGAGCTCACTTCTGTGATGGTGAAGGTGAGAAGTAATGACTAGGCTTCAATTAGGAAGTATTCCAGTCGGGCCTTACGAGGTACAGTATGTAACTGGCCTACACCTATAGCCAATGCTATTATACATCTTTAGTCAGAGATGCATAGGCTGATTTTTTTTAAAGGTGAACTAATCCTTTAAAGCCACATTCCCACTTTGTGTTGCGTGAACATACATACCCGTTCACAATTTTTAGGGGGCGTTTTACACAGCCCATTCCCTTGAACAGGCTGCCCTATGTGCGTTTGTCACGCAATAGGAGCTCCTTCACCTTTTTTGCTTGATTTTGTCATTAAAGTGGTTGTAAAGGCAAAAAGTTTTATCTCCATGAATAGAATGCATAAAATGAATAGCACCCAAATGGGCGTCTTGCCGCAATTTGGAATCACAGAGACACGCAGATTCTGCCTGTCATTCCGAATCACTTGGGGCTCCATTCACTGAAGCAGTTTGCATGTAGTATTCAGCTGTCCATACACGTTTTGATATCACCCGAAGGGCCTGGTGTGGACTGGGGTGGTAAACCCCCATGTTGTTTTTCTTCTCATTTTTAATCACTTGCCCTCCTGACATTCCCAGTGACACCAATACAGTGATCAGTGCTAATAAAAAGAACTGATGCTGTACTAATGGTACTGGGCAGGAAGGGGTTAACATCTGGGGTGATCAAAGGGTTAATTGTGTGCTGTTTCATATTATGTGCGGTGTGTGCACTTCACTGTAAGCACACTGCTTTGTATGGCTCTGCTATACAGAGCCATACAAAGCAGTGTGCAGGAGCTGACAGGGGAGAGATCTGTATTGTTTACATACAGTTCTTTCCCCCGTCGGTAATACTTGGCGACCACTGGGTGCCGGTGATTAATCACCGCCCGGGACCCGTTGACTGACAGCCTAGGCCATGAATGGCGGCAGGGGTAGAGCGTGCGCCCCCTACCCGGAACTGCAAAACCACACACACACACACACATATATATATATATATATATATATATATATATGTGATTTCACATACCCGTGCCACTCTGTGGCAGTATTTCTGCTATAGGGCGGATGGCAAGCAGTTAACCGCTTCCTGACTACCCTATAGGAGATATACTGCTACAGGGTGGCACAGGTCTGCAAAATCATGTATATATACGTGATTTTGCATTTCTGGGTAGGGGGTGCATGCGAGCCCTACCCGTGCCACAGCAGTCAATCACCAGGTCCTGGCCGGTGATTGCTTGCCGGCGCCCAGTGATTGCCGAGCATCTCCGACGGAGAGAACTGTTTGTAAACAAAACAATTCTCCCTGTCAGCTCATGCACACTGCTTTGGATGGCTGTGCACAGTATATCATATCAAATAAAAAGGTGCTGCACTATAAGTATATATAAAACTATCAATGTCCATAAATAAATATGCCAAATATTAAAGTGTCTGTCTGTGCAGATCTGGATGCCATGGTAGTTCATTGCTTCTGTCAGAATATTAATATTATACAGGATTTATATAGCGCCAACACTTTTCGCAGCCCTTTACAAAATGAAGGTGGACATTACAGTCACAATACAATTTGGTACAACAGGAAACAGAGGGCCCTGCTCGTTACAGCTTACAATCTAAGAAATCTGCTTGACCGTACATCCTGTATGGCAAGCAGATATTCTGACAAGTCTGCAGCAGAGCTGCATGGCATCAGTGATCTACTGATCGCTGGTGCAATGCTTTACAGACAAAAATAATAAATGCACGTTTACCTGCAAAAAATGTGCATTAATTTTTGTCCAAAAGGTGAACTTGTGCTTTAACAACATTGACAGTTGCTGTTTGTTAAAGCGGAGTTCCACCCAAAAGATGAAGTTCTGCTTAAATGATTGGTCCCCTGCTTTTCATTAAGGATTGGCACCTTTGGGGAGTGGGTACCTGAATTTGACAGGTATCCGCTCCCACTGCGATCACCTAGGTGATCGGAAATGGAAGTTGTCCTCCCCCCCTCCTTCCCTGTAGTCTTGTGGGACAAGTGACAGGTCCCAGAAGACGACAGGGCCATTCAGGAAGCACAGTGCTGCTCGCACATGTGCAGTGGGCTCCCGGCTGTGAAGGTGCAAGCTGTCACAGTCGGGTGCCCACACTGAAGATGCCAGCACCTGGAATACAGGACGGCCGATGAAATGGACTGCGTTGGGGGCAACATGGGATCGAGGGACAGGTAGGTGGCTGTTTTTATTATTTTACAGAGTGAATGGAACCCCGCTTCAAGGACAGCAGCTACCATCTGCATTAAATTACTGCAAGTTTTCACTAAAATACCAGATTGCTTCATAAAATAGTGCATGCTGTATTTTAGTAACATTTTTTAGTGAATTGAAAAAAAAAATTTTGGTTAAAAAAAAAAATTCCTAAAGCGGTAGATACTGCTGTGTGAACGGAACCTAAATGAAGTTTTTCAAGTAAGTTTCTATTGAATGGCGCAGTATAACTCATGTTTGTCTTGTTATTACAATACTGATGTGATAAAATGACGGTGACTGAATGAGTTGATTGGGCTCTATGAGGTAAGAGTCTGCCCATGTGAGAGGAGTGCAGAGCGGAGACAGCGCTCACCTCCTGCACGCCGCCCTCGTGCTGCTGAGCCATAGCCAGTAACATAGCGTCAAATCGCTCCTCATCCGCACACCCGCCGGCCGCCATCCTGCTCAGTCCAACACACGCTGCACAGCTTCCGCCAACCACCAACACGCCCCCTCCTACCTCTAGTCTAGCCAATCGCTCTACTACGCTATAGCCGTTGCTACAGTTACCCAACGGCGCTCTACAATCGCAACCGGAAGTGTCGTTCCTACTACTCTATGGTCAGAAGTAAAAGGCGATTGGCTAACGGCTGCCGCTGCTGTAAATGGTTTTCAGCCAATCAGCAGAAGTATCTAGAATATTCGTTCTCCGCAACGGCTGTTCTCCCGTTTAGTTCCGTTAAGCGGCTAGTGCGAAGACCTCCCCACCACCACTACCACTAGGACTTCCTAGATCTACCTATCTCCCTACACTTCCAGTCAGCTGGAAAAGAATAAAGCGGCACTCCTTCTCCTCAGTAAGATGGCGGAAGGTCCTGTGACCATGGAGTTGGCTTCCGCAGGCAAGATGTCGGGCGGTCATGTGACTTCCGCTAGTAGTTCCGGAAGATGGAGGCGACCAGTTGTCCGGTGGTGTTTGTTGTCAGTGGGATTCCTCGGAGTTTTCGGTCAGCCCAGCTGCGACATTACTTCAGCCAGTTCACGGAGAGCCGTGGCTTCGAATGCTTCCATTACCGGCATCGCCCGGAACGGAGGGGCCCGGACGGTAAAGCTGTTACTTTCTGCTGTCCGGTGACTGTGAAGGCGGAGAGAGCGTACAGTTTCCGATCCATGTATCATGGCAAACCATGGCTGGACACCCAGGGCAATCAGGTGCCCGGGAAATGCTTCATCTACAAGGTGCGGCCCAGCTCCAGAAGGAGGTGAGTGTGTCTGTCTATATACACTGGAAGATCCGCCTGGTATGGCCTTCAGGCAGTCCTGATGTAAGTAGGCCATACATGGATAGGCATTTGATGAACTGGCCGAATTTCTATCCGTCTATGGCTACTCCTGTTCACGACAAGTTGATTGATAGAATGGTCCTGCTGGCAAAATTCCATTTGATTAGCACTTGCAGCCAATCAGCTGCAATGCTGATCAATGTATTCTGATGATGGGGGCAGTCCCACTGTCAGCATACAACAGCACAGTGGGTAGGACTCCTCTATCTCACTTGTGTGGATGGCAGCAGGTAATTGCTGGCTGTTTGGACAGCTACGGCAGCGGCTAGCCTCTCCCAGGTGGAAGAAACCGCTGCAGGATTAGCAGATTCCTTCCGCTGTCATTGGTACTGAGGATAGTTACCTATGTGTAGGCCTAGGGGCTCGTTTACATTTGCGGTGTCCTCTGAAGAGTGGTGCACAGTGGATCGTCATGGGTGTTGAAGCTTTTGAAAAAAACTACTTGTCCAGCGACTAACTTGGGGTTCCAATCTACTTGTCCCTCATGACAATCTACTTGTCCAGATTAAAAAAAAAAATATTTTTTTTAACCAATTCCTTATTGAAATTTAAGGAGCTTTGAGGAATGTTTGGGGTGTTTAAAAACAAAATGGGCTTTATGGCAACTTAAATGTATAATATTTTTACCATTGCGCTGTATATCTCCTCCTCCCCTCCCTGCCTCTCTCCAGCACCGTACCCAGGGACTAGCAGGGAGTAGAGAGACCTTGCAGTGTATTGAGCACCGATTGGGTACTTGTCAGGAAAGGGGAGTGTCGGGCTTATCCTTTATCCCTTTCACTGCCAGAGCTGTTTTTGCATTTTTTGCACACGTTTAAAAAAAATCAGTTTAGGCCTGAAGATTACGCAAAACCCCCAAACATGATCTATTTTCTGAAATCATAGACCCTAGAGAATAAAATAGTGGTAGTTACAATTTTTATGTCGCATGATATTACCACAAAATTTCAGTAAAAAATACACTTAAGTTAATTTTAGGGCACAAAAAAGCAATAATTTACCCTATTTTTTTTTTGTAAAATGTAAAACACGAGGTTGCACAGAGTAAATACATGTCAAAACTTAAAATTACATGCACTCGTGAAATGGCGACAAACTTTAGTATCCTATATTTTCTATAGGTGACGCTTTTAAAGCCCCTTCCAGGTCATCAGTAGAGTGTTACGGAGGAGGTCTGCTGCTAGAATTATTGCTCTCATTCTGGCATGCGCGGCAATATGTAATGTGTATCTCAAGCAACGTTTTCATGCGTAGGCGACCCTGCGTGTGCTTTTACGTTTGTATGTGGGGGGGAAGGAAGGGCCCTCCAATTTTTTTTTTTGTGGCAATGTTCTGTGCTTGGGTGTAACTTTTAAATTTTTTACAATTTAAAAAAAACAAACTTTTTTTTTTTTTTTCTTTTTTCATTACATGGAGGACAAAAAGTCATGTGGTGATTTTTGATGACAGGTTTTCTTTGAGACATCCAAGGTCTAAAAGACCCTGCATGTCTCCCCTTGTACTCCACTGAATGTAGTGTGGTGCACATCGCACCGCATTACGTTCTTTCCTGACCTCTATGGCTGGGAAATCTTTCAACGGGGACCCGGAAGTGACATAACGTCACTTTCGGGTCAGGACAAGAAGGGGAGGGGAGCAGACGTGCCCACTCTCCTCCCTCCCCTCTAGCAGATGGCAGTGAACCGGTTCCGGACCTGCAAATGGGCAGCCCAGGAGACAGTGGATAGTGTGGGGGGGCAGGGGCTGGAACTATATGCTGTGTGAAAGCAATCGGGCGGCTGCTGCCTGAATTCTTTTACCTGACAGGTGAGCCCTGCTTTTTTTTTTTTTTTTTTTTTTAATGTAGAAGCTAATGTATTTTTTTTTTGTATGTTTTGAAAACTATAATAGACTTGCAAGACTTTCCGTACAAGACCCGTCATGAAGCACGTCTTGAAGCCCAGAAACATTCTACTGATGTGGAAAAAACAAGTAACTTCAAAAGAGTTATTTAGGATGTCTGAATTCAACCCGCCAGCACTGATGGCTCAAGGAAATGTTGGAACACCAATATCCACATTTTTACAATTAATAAGGTCTTGTCGTTTACCACCTAAACTTATACCTCGATTGGGTCTGCAGTTCCGTCGCTCAGGACGACGCTATGGCAATGTTCCCTATGACTATGTAGGAACAGAAATTGCGAACCAAGAAGAAGGTGTATATACAGCTACTGGACATGAGATAAAAGAAGGGGAAAGTATAGGATCTAATGTGCTCCAAGACGAGGAAGACATTGTGGAGGAAGAAGACATTGTGGAGGAGTCCCTGTCTGATGTAAGTATTGATTTGGGTACTAGCAAAGAGGAGGAGATGCCCTTTATGTCAAAAAGCACAAAGAAAATTTGAAAAATATCTCTCTACCTCCTGCCTCACTCCTTCAGTCTCCGCCCAAATCACTAGCCTTCTAAACGACATATCAGACTGGATGTCACTCTACTTCCTCAAATTAAACCTTACCAAAACTGAGCTCCTAGTTCTCCCCCCAGCCCACGCCCCCCCTTCCCCCGACCTCTCCATCACGACCAACCATGCCACCATCAGCCCCACTCCGCAAGCCAGAGTACTAGGTGTCATTCTAGACTCCAATCTGTCTTTCCAGCCCCAGATCCAATCGCTGACAAATTCATGCAAACTCCACCTCCGCAACATCTCCAAAATACACACGTTCATAACTCAAACTACAAAGCAACTCATTCACTCACTTATCATATCACGACTTGACTACTGCAACTCCCTCCTTGCCGGCCTACCCCCAACACAGGCTATCCCCGCTGCAGTCTATCCTGAATTCTGCGGCCAGACTCCTCTACCTTACCAACCGCTGCGTATCTGCCACCCCCCTCTGCCAATCACTCCACTGGCTTCCGATTGCCCAACGCATAAAATTCAAAATATTAACATTGACGTACAAAGCTATCCATAACACTGCCCCAAACTACATCACCGGCCTGATAAATCCATATCCATCTACCACCCGAAACGCACTCTCCGCTCCTCACAGTTCCCTGGTCTCCTCCTCCCCATGCCCGTCTCCAGGACTTCTCCAGGGCTTCCCCCATCATCTGGAACTCACTACCCCAATCCATCAGACGGTCACCTACCCTCCTCACCTTTAGGCGCACCCTGAAAACCCACCTCTGCAGAAAAGCCTACCCTGCCCTCACCTAATCGCTGATCTCTGCTCTCCCCACCACTCCATCCCCCACAGCTATTTCCTCCTGTACCACACTCCCCTCCCTCCTAGATTGTAAGCTCCAAGGAGCAGGGCCCTCGAACCCCTCGTGTATTGTGTTGTTACTGTACTGTCTCCCATTATAATGTACAGCGCTGAGCAAACTGTTGGCGCTATATAAATACTGTATAATAATAATAATTCAAGAAAAAAATTACCTACTTGAAACCCCCTAGATCACAGGCATCAAACTGCGGCCCTCAAGCTGTTGAGGAACTACAGTCTCATCATGCCTCTGCCTTTGTGAGTCACGCTTGTAACGGTCAGCCTTGCAACGCTTCATGGGATTTGCAGTTCTGCAACAGCTGGAGGGCCGCAGTTTGACACCCCTGCTCTAGATTATCCTACAAACCAGAGAGGGACCTTTCCTTAGAATTGATGTAGTATGCAGATCCACAAGACATTCTGAGGATTATAAATACCTGTTGCTTGATGAACTGACTTAAATGTGAATGAAAGGTGAACTTTTAATTATAGGTGATGTCAACATGTTGGTCATTAACTGGAGATCTCAAACTGTGCTTTCAAGCAATAGCAGTGATATGTTGGTTATATTGAAAGGGGTTTCTCTAAAACCATTAGCCCAACCAGAAGTGATTTATTTTCTTACCTGGTAAAAAGGAAATGATTGTCTGAGGTCGGAGAAGATTTGGATTCTAGTAATCACTAATATCTTTTGTTTGATATTAGAACAAAAAGAGTTTGCAGTAAAATAGTAATTGGCAAGAGTAAACCGCATAAAAATATTATTATTCATTACAGAGGTATGTAGGGTAGTAAAGAAAAAAGCAGCATATAGGAGATGCAAGGAATCAAAGTGCAGCTGATAGAGGAATGTATAAAAATACACAAAGTGAGGTCAAATATATTATCAGTGCTGCTAATGTGCAGAAATACAAGGGTGCATAAATCCATCAAATTTAGGTAAACTTTATATATTAAAAAAAAAAAGCAAAAAAAAAACAGCATTCAGGATGGTAATTTCATATAACTTGCGCTGTTGCCAGCTGTCCTAGTTGAAATCCGAAGTACACCCCCCAAAATCCCCACAGATGCAATTTTCTAGTGCTAAGGGGGTTAATACGAGTGCTGGATCTGTCACAGACACTTGTCAAAAGTGACAACTATGCCTGCTCTTTTTGCCTCCTTCTCCATTCATAGAACCTATACTATAGCTTCAAGGAATGAAAAGCGATCTATGAACAGAAGATGGGTGGATACATGAAAGGTCCACCTCCTACAGAGACACTCTACCTTTTCTGCCATCACTGTTTTTATAAACCAATAATAGGAATTTTTCTTCCTGTGCTTAATGTCAGTTTACAATTCAGTGGTAGGGACAGGCACAGATACAACTGTCACACGGATCCTAGCTTTAACTCTGGTTTAACATCTGTGCAGCCTTGAGGGCTGCGATTTGTGCAGGCACGAGAGCCCACTCATTTGAATGGACTCCCGTGCCCTGGAACTAGCAGGGAAGAAGTCCCTGCACTACTTGGGAAATCGAAGCCCGCACGGGAACTGAGGTTCCCAGTACGGTTGTGATTTCCAATACGGGTGGCGTACCATTAGAATTAATGGCACCTGCCTGCGAGTCCCACATTCCTCTGTGGGGGTGGTGTGGGTCCCGTGTGATGTATACAGAGTGTTACTACTTGGAGTGATTAAATTGGAACATGCAATCTGAAATCTGAGTTCACTTGTTACATGCTTGTTCCAGGTCCTAGTGCTGAAATAAAGAAAACAAACCGAAACCATTTTTGCACCAAAAGAAAATTACATTTCTGAGGGCATTCAGTACATAAAGGGGTTTATCTACTTAAACTGGAGAGTGCAGAATTGGGGTGCAACTGTGCATGGTAGCCAATCAGTTTCTAACTTCAACTTCTACAGTTAAAGTGGTTGTAAACTCTGTTTTTTCATTTTACCTACAGGTAAGCTTATAATAAAGGTTAACTATAGCTAAAATGAATATCTCCTAAAATGTGCACTTTTTAGGAGATAATCTCTTCATTTAATCTGGTGCATGCACTCTGAAGGAATGGCATACCCATGCCGTTCCTTCAGAGCTCGGTACCGTGAACCGTGACATCGCGGTCCAACTTGTCAGAATGCTGGAGCTCGCGAACCCGGAAGGAATGGGTGAAGATGGAAGCCTCTACAGCAGTGACAGCGTGCTGCTGGAGGGCTTTGTTTTAAGGTACGTTTTACATAATGTACTAGTATGCGATGCATACTAGCACATTATGACACAAACTGCAGACAAAAAAAAAAGTACCCTGCAAGGTAACTATCGCTTTAGTGATGGGCTATGAATGATAGTTTACTACTGCTGTAGTGATAGGCTTGATGTTCTACTTGAACGTTGGCTGTTCATGTGTTCGGTGGGCTATTCACCCCGCTGTGCCCCACAATGCACTGCACTTTCATAGTGCATTGTGATTGACCAGATCGCTGCACTTGACCACAGGCCAGGTGCATTGCTTTGGCCAATCATAGCACAATGCACTGTGAGAGCCATGGTTGGCCAAAGTCACTGTGACTGTGGCCAATCATGGCTCACGGCTAAGTCCACGCCCCACACTATATAAGGCTGCTTAAACAGCAGCCTTGTGTAGTGTGTTGCTGGAGTTTATTGGAGTAGTTAGAAGTGTAGTTTAGTGTAGGGCAGTGTGTTGTGAAGAGCAGTGTAGTGGCGTCAGTGTGTTTTACAACACTTTTGCTGTTCCCATTTCTTCTTTCTTTTTTTAAATTTTATCTCTGCAGCATCAGATTCTGTTGCTGCATCATTAATGTGTTTTCCCCCTTCTGTGTCGCAGGTGTTCCTCATTCTGCTTCAGCAGTGGTTTCCTTTTTTTGCTTTCTGAATTTTTTTGCCGCAGCAGCAAAAATAATTTGGGCATAATTGCTGTTATTTCTTCTGCATCACAGGTGTTCCTTCTTTTGCGTTAGCAGTAGGTCCCTTTTTAGGGTTTTTTTTTTTTTTTTTTTTTTTTTCAGCAGCAAAAAAAATTTTTATAATTGCTGCTCTTCCTTCTGTGTCACCATAGGTTTATTTTTCTTTTTTGTTTTTTTTTTATTTCTGAATCTTTTTTTAAATTTTATTTATTGCAGCAGTAAAAAAAAAAATCTTATTTGTTGTTGTACCGCTATTTTTCTTTATAAAGAAAAACAATAATAAAACGGTTTATAGTGCACCAAGCACAAAAGTATTGCACCTAAGCACGAAATTCCCATCCCACACTCTAAAATAAAAAGTTATAAAAATCCCCATCATGACTGAAAGGCCAACAAGGAAAGGCAGACGCTCACATGTAGCTAAAAGAGGGCAAGCAGCCTCTGTGTCCACAGTGAAAAGTGGTGGTTTGGACATTGTGCATCCTATGCAGGCAGGGCATGCTTGTCCTTTTTTTTCCGGTGCTGGCCATGTTATTGAGCCACAACATGCAGAAGAGGTGGTGGAGTAGAAAACTAAGCCATCTTCATTCTTTGTCACCCAGGCTCATACTAGTTCGCCTTCCACTGCAGCTGCCAAAGTGACGTATTCAGCAGGCACTCTCTATGCACAGCTACTCCTTCCGTAGCCCCACCTGCATGGAGGAGTCACCTAAATAATTCAAGCATAGTGTCAGTCACATACTGCTGGAGGATGCACAACAATTTCAGTGCTACGATGTTGGTTCCCAGGTTGAAGAAGGGAGTGACATGAGCCTAGAGAGAAGGGGTGCCAATAACGGACAAGAAATTGGCAGTCATGTTCCCCCCAGCAGCAGCATACTGTTAAGTTGGCTCCAGTGACGAGGAGGGATGGGATGATGAGGTCACTGTACTTGGGTGCCCGAGAGAACAGAGGAGGAAAATGAGGAGGAGGCTCAACTCCAAGGCAGGATGTCCTCCAGGGGCAGGCATAATGGCAGTCGCCCTATTGCATCACACAACAGAGCTCCACAGGTGCAGGGTGCTGCCGACTTCCAAAATTTCATTGGTGTGGGCTTTTTTCAACACGTGCAGCAGACCACAGCATTTCTGTTTGTAGTCTGTC